CCGAGCGCACAGGTGACGGAGCAGCGTGGGGGGGGGGGGGGGTGAGCGTGCACCATACCAGGCCACATGCCTTCATCATGGGGAGGTGGTTTGCCAGGGGGTGACCACCGGAAAAGGCACCTTGTTGCCATGTCGATGAAGACAAGGGCCTCTTCCCCACATCCATGGCCTGGAGGTTGTGGGGATCTGCAGACAGGGGAGCTTATCTGAATCTGGGTGCTCCTTTCATAAAGGGTCACCTAGATGCCGCCCTCCCCTCATGAATGAGTAAGGGGGTAGCTTTCCAGTTGCTGACCAGTTGCTTGCAGGATGACTTGTGCAGTGTTTCTGGCACTATTGTTCCTCTTTGGCGCCCTCTTATGCTCAAATCTGGTAACATCATCATTCTTCAATGACTAACAAAACTTCTGACAAATTCCTTTTTTCAGAGTGATGATGCAAACACAAGCTCTCTATTTAACCATCAGCTTGTCTATTTAGTCTCTGCCCTTGCGTGTGTTCTGATCATCCATGTGTGCTGCTAATGTTCCTGGTCTCTGTGTGTGACCCTGGCTCTGGCTGACTGATCTCCTGGTTTCTGACTCTGGCAATTGTTTCCATTCATCCTGCTCTCAGTGTTCCTTGATCTGGTTCGGCTGACTACCCGTTGGCTTGGCACTGACGACGTTCTGGACTTTCTCCATTGTTTTTGCATTTATGTTTATTGTTGTTTACAATAAACTCCTTTTATTTTTAAACCTGCACTTGACAGTACACAAGGGCCATGGATCCTGACAGTGCAGGTATTCCTGTGCTACCCATGTTGTTCTCTAGGCTGGATGAACAAGATCACCGTATGGATCATTTCACCCTGGCACTGCAGAGCCTCCTAGCACGCACCGCCCATCCCGAGCCAGGTGTTTCTCGGGCGGTGGTTTCTCACATTGCTGCTTCCGCTCCTGCGGAAGCACGAAAACCAGTAGTCACTAAGGGTATGACCGGTTCAGCCCCCTCCCTCCCAATGTGTTACAACATATTGCAGTGTTGGCAGGGAGAGAATGGATTAGTTGCTTGGGGTTGCCTTAACCTTGACAGATACAGGTGTGTGGTGTGTGTTATTTGTCAGGTGTCAAGCAGCAGGAAAATCATAGATGGAGGTGTAGAATACAGAGTTGCTGAATATATGCTGCGTCTTTGGCGTGATCTTCCTGTAGGCACAATGTGCTGGCCTCTCTGGTGCACAATGTGCTAAGCAGGGCCGGTGCTACCGCTAGGGAACCAAGGCGGCTGTCTAGGGCGTGCTGCTGCCTAGGACGTAGCCGGCCTGGCCTCCTGCAGAGTCCACCGGAATTCTGGACCATCTGCACACACTCAGACGGGCACAGTTCCTTGCGGCCGCTTGGAAAAGCTATGCACCCGCGGCTGCAAGGAACTTGCCTCTGTCCTATGTGCTTCATCGCTCCGTAGCCTCAGAGAGATCGCTCCACTGCTGCACTGTGGATGAGTGGAGCAATCTCTCTGATACTTCGGAGCGATGAGGCATCTGCAGCGTCCTGTCCTCCTGCCTTCAGTGGTACAGTTGCTCGGTGGGAGGCAGGGCGTCTTCCGAGTCCCGGGCTGAGCGGGCTGTGGCGTTCTGTGAGCAGGTAAGATGGCTGTGTAGCAATGTGTTTTTTTCCCCTCTCTCACCCTGTCTTCTCTCCATTTCTCTCCAGTCTTCTCTCCTCTCTCCCCTCTCTCTGTCTTCTCTCCCCTCTCTCTTCACTTTCACACTGGACACTTAAAGACATGGATGCATGGCAGCACAATTGAAGACAAAAGCGGCAAATTGGTACACTTGTAGATACAGGGGCACACAAGGGCACACTTGGAGACACAGGATGCACTTGTAGATAAAGGAAGCACTTGGAGACACAGGGCACGCTTGGAGATATGGGGAACACAAGAGCACATTAGGAGACACAGGGCACGCTTGGAGACACAGGGCACACTTGGAGATACGGGGCACACAAGAGCACATTAGGAGACACAGGGCATGCTTGTAGACACAGAACACACAAAGAGAAACAGAAGGCACTTGTAGATGCAGGGCACGCAAGGGCCCACTTGGAGACAATGGACACACAAGGGCACACTTGGAGACACAGGGCACGCTTGGAGACACAGGGCATGCTTGGAGACACAGGGCACGCTTGGGGATACGGGGCACACAAGAGCACATTAGAGCATGCTTGGAGACACAGGGCACACTTGGAGATGCGGGGCACACAAGAGCACATTAGGAGACACAGGGCATGCTTGGAGACACAGGGCATGCTTGAAGACACAGGGCACGCTTGGAGATATGGGGCACACAAGAGCACATTAGTGCATGCTTGGAGGCACAGGGCACACTTGGAGATACGGGGCACACAAGAGCACATTAGGAGACACAGGGCATGCTTGTAGACACAGAACACACAAAGAGAAACAGAAGGCACTTGTAGATGCAGGGCACTTGGAGACACAGGACATACAAGGGCACACTTGGAGACACAGGGCACGCTTGGAGACACAGGGCACGCTTGGAGACACGGGGCACACAAGAGCACACTTGGAGGTTCTCTCTCTTTTATGAAAAAAAGTTTTCATGGGACTTGGGACTTGGAAGACGCTCTGCCTCACACCAAGCAACTGTACCACTGGAGGCATGGAGGAGAACGTGACTCACTGGATGCCTAAGAAATAAAGACTGGTAATAAAATGAGAGTGTTGGGAAGCACTGACCCATAACTATTACAGAGATTTCAAGAGGGGTACCAGCAGGCTTGAGGGGCAATTAAAGGAGCAATCACTACAAGCACTGGGGGGATTATTGTTATCCAATTACATTTGCCAATGTTTGTTAATGTTAATTCAACATGAAAATATAAGTTTAGTAAAATGAACCCGTCACATCATGCTAACTTTTCTAACAAACATTAAATTATGGTTTAGCCTTTGTTTTTTCCCATTAGATAGTCTCTAGAGTTCATGCTTGGTCGAAATAACACTATGAAGCTTTTAGGGAAAAACATGCAGATCTCCAAAGCCCAGCTGGATGATTGGATGGCGAAGATCTCCATGGCAACGGCATACTTTCCACTGGCACTCAGGTAGGCCGGGATGAAGGATATCCAGACACTGAGGAAGGCCAACATGCTGAATGTGATGAACTTGGCCTCATTAAAGCTGTCAGGGAGCCTCCTGGCCAAGAAGGCAACTACAAAACTTACAGTGGCCAGAAGGCCAAGGTAACCCAGCATGCACCAAAAAGCTGTAGGGGAACCCTCGTTACATTCAATGATAATAATCCCAGGTCGAGTCTGAACATTTTTCTCAGGGAATGGGGGGGCAAAAATCATCCAGAGGACACATAAGACAAACGGAAATAACATACACATGGTAATGATCATGTAGGACACTTTTGGACTGCTTAGTTTCTTGAGCTGACTGCCTGGTTTTGTTGCCATGAAGGCAAAAACCACCATGACATTCTTTGCCAGGATACAAGAGACACAGAAGGCAAAGGACATTCCAAAAGCAGTCTGCCGTAGAAGACATTTCTCAGGCTGGGGGTATCCAATGAAACCTAAAGAAGAAAGGAAGCAAAGGAAAAGAGACACGAGAAGAAGGCAACTCATAGAAAAATTATTGGCTCGTACTAGGGGAGTGTTTCTGTAATGAATGAAAAGTCCTAAGGTACAAGGTGGAATGCTGGAGGAGAAAACACTGCTGGCAGCCAGAACAACTCCCAATGGTTCCTCATAAGAAAGGAATTCTATGTCTTTGGCTAGACACTTGTCCTTTTGGAGATTGGGCCACTGGTCCCATGGACACTTGATGCAGTCAGGAGGGTCTGCAAATAAAAGAGACACAAATGATACCTCAAATTAAAAATGCCAATCCCATGACTGAACCTATAAAAAACTGTGACCACATTTAATGATCTTGTAGTTAAAGCAGAATTCCGGAATTTAACCACCCGCTTTCCTAAATATACACTTGACATTGTGGCAGCTTTCCTCTTCTTCTTCTGGTAGCGGTAGGGTGTGGGCATTCTTCCATGACTTAGTCGGGCTCACATAATGACATGTGAATGGTGCACATTTCCTGAGTACAGATGTGATGTTGCACCCACTAGGGAAGGGGATGTGTAAACAACAAGCTGGACTCACAGGAGATGGGTAGAATGGCATGACTGTAGTTCTGGAGAACCACCAGCGCTGCACCGAGGAGGAATCTGGTAACAGCACCGGAGTGTGAAGAGCCTACACAGAAATTGGGAATTTCTTTTTGTACAGAAGGCAGGAATTCAAAGAAAAAACATTAGCTTGAGTTGCACTTTAAAGCCTAACTCCAGCCAATTTTCTTTTTTTCATTTTCTGTAAAGTTGAAAAGATTGGAGAAGATCCGGTTATGTCACAGGCTCTTCATCTTCTCCTCTGACAGTGGCAACTGGCGTCCTTACTGTTGCATTAAACGGCATTCATGCCATGACACATGAGTTCCATTCAGTGCTGTAATCGTCTAAGCTCACCCCCCAGAGTGTAGGTCTATGACAGCCTGGGCTTGGAGGAACTGGGTTGATTAGCGCTACCTGTCAATCAACCCAGAAGACTAAGGAAATCTAGGCAGTGATGAGGTACCGCAGGTGACAGATCTGGATTCAATAATTGTTTCTATTACTGGGCTATGGATTTTATTTAAACTGGAGAACAACTTTAAGATTTACATTTTATATTTTGTACATAACCTTTTAAAAACTATTTGTACCTGTTGTGTTGGAGATCTCTACTTGTGGGCAGGAAACACACTCGAAGCAACACACGGGTTGTCCTCTTCTCAGCAATTGTCTAAAACCTGGAGGACAGCTGCTGCTACACACAGAATAAGGGACCTGAGCAACCACATATTTTAAACGCATTTTAATGACACTGCATATTTCAGTAAAATATATATAAATGTGAGTCTAAATAAACTCATGCTTATCCTGACACTTATGCAAACCCTATTACAGGATGTTCTTTATTCTATGAGGGATTTCTTAACCAGTGGAAGCCTCCTCAAAACCATTCTTTAATTCTCTACCGAGTGGAGGATCTTAAGTAACATGCAAAAAAAAAAATGAGTAGAGAAAAAGAAGGACGTTGTTTGGTGGGCCTGAGTCCTACAAATTCGAAATTCCCTCCACAGGAAGCTCAGTCTGACCATGTGTTCGGATTGTCTTTGACAGGCTGTTAGCAGCTGACCCGCTCCCTGTGAGTCATGGTAACAAGATCACTGCACATCATCTCTGCCTCTCCAGGTCACTCTGCACTGTTCAGGGGGTGTTGCAGCTGTCAATATTAAAGGAGAACTATGAGGCGGGTGCTTTTCACTCACCTCATAGTTTTAGCCGACCTGTGACAATGAGACTGTCACAGGTCGGCTCAGTAGATCGAGAAGGGAGCGAACACATACCGGCGTTCGCTCACCTCTCGATCCTGTCACAGCTCTCTGCCGTGACAGGGGAGGGGCTGGATTCCCCCCTCCCCGCTCCGATCCGCCAGCACTGACTGGTGGATCGGACAGGGGAGGGGGCTGGGACAGCTGGCTCTGCCTCTAGATAGGCAGAGACAGCCGCCCCTCACGCAGCTGGGCGGATCTAGACATAATTGTTGGGATCAGCTTCAGCTGCGGCATCTCAGTATACCGCGAGCAGTAGCTTGCGGTATACTGTGGCGTCTCAGTATACCGCAAGCTGTAGCTCGCGGTATACTGAGCTTAGGGCTGACGGGAGGCCGCTAGTTTGTGTCCTCCCGTTACCCTAAGGAGAACTATGGGGAAAAGCTGTGACCCCATAGTTCTCCTTTAATGATTTGGGGGGGGGAGCTCAGAGAGAGAGCTCAGTTTTCACAGAGAAGCTTGTGCACGAGGGACGCATAGCATTGTGGGAAATGTAGATACCACTCACTCTATTGTAGTCCCCTCTGTGCACAGCAGCCTATAATTTACACAGACTGCCTGCAGATCACAGAGGTGGCCATTTCAAAAGCAGCCATGAGGAGATGAAGAGGACAGCTAACAAAAAAGTATGTTTCTGTGTTCATATATAGCAACTGCTTATATCTGCTTCATGTGGACTCGGTGTACATTGTTGGCATATGTTTATTTTAAAAATACTTCCACAAAGGTAAAAATGGGCTTTAAGCTTTAGGGATGGGGGAGTGGGTTCAAAATCAAACAGCAAATAAAACGAGTTCAGTTTCTGTTTGTCTATAATGTTTGGTTTAAGGACGGTCTCTTACTTGTCTATCCCCGGATGCCCACATCACGGCACTAGTGTCAATGTTGAATGTTTTTCCTTCGGTCTGGGTTGTGTCGTAGCTCCCGACCTTCACTTGCCCCATAACACCATTGTCATTTATCTTCCAGTTGACAATGTCGTAGGTTGCAGGCGGATCACCATTCTCATCGAAGACCATTTCTCTACCACTGCTCAGCCTGACATGGACTTTCTGAATATAGCGAGAGAGCTGCGGGGAAAATTTTTTAAGGATATTCAAATATATTTCATAAAACAGGTACAAAATGTTAAAGCAAAAATAAAAAATAAAATGAATATATATTTATAGAATATATATATATATAGCAACACATAACAAAAATTGTTTAATTCGGTGGGGGATGATTTTTTTTCCGTCATTTCGAAATATAGGGAATGACATGTTTGTAAAACCAAAATGTTGTTATCGTTTCAATAGTATTATGCTTACAATATGAGAATGTCATAATCAGCACAGCCTTTCCTTCCAAAATTGCTGACTTGTACTGTACACCACAGCCCCTTTCATACCTAGGGAAAAACTGCTCTGAGCGACCACTTGAGGCCACCATGTGTACGACCTTGCCATATAAATTAATGGAGCTGACTGTAATACATTCACATATTGAGGCAGCCATTTTGAGAGTAAATGCTGACAGCGGGGCTGCACAGAGGGGATCGATGGCTTACAACTAAAGGTAAGTATAAGGCCAGGTGGGCCAGCACTGAGGGAGATGTCTTTCTCAAATTATATTTTCACAAGATTACCTGCCATGGCTTCAACATTCGTAGAGTAGAACAGCTCCCTTTAGAGAAAGGTCCTTTGCCATCTTTGCACATGTGTAAGTCATGTAAGGCTTTGGCTATGACATAAATTGCTGTATAAATGTTGTGAGCGCCTCTTAAACTGGTCACATCATTGTAACTGTTTTGCGTGCTCTCTAGATCCTCCTCTCCTGTGCATGCTTTGGTAAAATTGCTCAGAGATTCTTCAGCCATTTCACGATCAGATATTTGACATCCAAATATGCTCTCCCATAATATTTTAGCCCAGTCTTTTCCTGGACCTGAAAAAGGCTGAATTCTGTTAAGGAAATATTTAAAATTGTGTATGACAGAGCTGTGAAAGGAAAATCCAACAGAGCCAGAGAGCAATGAAGAGTATTTTCTAATAGATAACAAATTGGAGGTGGACCAGGCTTCACTGGCCATGAAGATCTTTCCAGTAATGTTCTGCGCCAACATCTCATTTAGAAGAGGGACCATTTCAGTGTCAGTGGAGAAGATTAGGACAACCTTGGCTGTTGATTCCTGAATGACTTTGGTGACGTGAGGGGCGTTTTTATCTAGACGATCGGTCAATAAGTATTCCACAAATGCCTCACATGCACCAGCTCTAATGAGCTCTTGACGAATGACCTGGATTCCCTGTTGGCCATAGTCTTCACTCACAGCCACCAATCCAACCCAAGTCCAACCAAAATGCAGCACTAGCTGAGCCAGTCCCTTAGATTGGAAGACATCACTGGGCACCGTCCTGTAGAATGAAGGAAACTGTGCCCGGTCACTCAGGACGGAGCTGGTTGAAAAATGACTGATCTAGGACAAGACATAAGGCAAGGTAATATAGCTTAGCTTTTACACAACCCAAGATTTCAACTATACATAAAATACTGCACAGAGGCAGTCCATCTTAAACTGATATATGAATCTCCCAAATGTCAGGCTGTTCTAACAGGGAAAGTTACAGCACTTCCAGGTAGTGCCCTTTGCACCCTTAAATATCATCAAAAACCATCGTAATTTCACCATACTCTTTGACTCCTTTGCATTTTGCCAAAATGGTGATATTTCACCAGAATATCCTGCTGAAACTTTGGGGCATATATTAACTCCCAGCTGCACGTATCCTTAGTCATATGCATTCCATTTGATTCTCTGACTATTCTCCTGGCCTTTCCCAGCGTGTGTCCTTTCCCTGATGCTTCTCCCATCAGATTATCCACTCTTGAACTGGAATTCCTGGTATTACATTAGCTTGATCCTAGGCCTCATCTCCTGTTTCAGTACCTTGCTTGGTGGCTACATCTCTGGTTCTGGCTTGTCCCTGACCCTTAATTCACTTCCCAACTTGGTGGTTCTTTCTATCTTTTCCTGCCCGGTTGTGGTGGAACCACTACACTGCTTTTGCGGGTACCAGTTGGGAAAATCTCAACCATGAGTTTTTATCTATGGTGATATACAGTATATATATATATTCCCATTAAGGAAGCCGGGCAGCATGTAATGACTTGCCGCCCAGCTTCCTGATTAACTAGGAAACTGGGCGGCGTGTAATGACTCACCGCTGGGCTTCCTGATACAATCTGGATAAGTATCGGGAGCATTTGGTACTAGTATCTGTATCTGGTACTAGTATCGGTATTGGTGCATCCCTAATTATTTATATGGCAAAAATGAGAAATTATTGTGGCCAAATGTTCCAATAATACAATAAATAAAATGTTTATATTTTCTCAGTGCCTATTGGTTTTTACCCTCAGCTCTATACCTGTGGATATCTGTAGAGACCAAGGACATGGGCCATCAGTAAGGAGAAAGAGGAGATAGAATGCCCAATGACGGCAGCCACTGATGACCCCTCCCGGCAGGAATAGTTGGGGATCCCACTTTCCCATCCTGTCAACAGCTTGTGGGTCCCATCAATCTCCTCATGTAGTCCTGAACAAGAGTCATACACCTGGAATCCCAGGGAGATGTTGGGCAGTAGGTCCAAGTTTTTATTTATCTCTTCCACGGCAAACCTCAAGGCTTGGAACTGCTGGAATACTTCAAAGCTGAACCTATGGCAAGCAGAAGAGAGGCACCTTACATGTCTATGAACAAAGACATTTAGAAACCTGCTAAATACCTGCAGAAATGTCACCAACTGGGTTAAGAAAACATCTAAAAAGGTCCAGACCTAAAACTTTTGAAGCACATGAAAAAAGTTATTTGTGTTATCAAGAGTTGCTGATAGACTGTACATCACACTGGCTTACATTTTTGGCAAACACCAATAATGAGATCTTTGCTCCCAAGTTCCCCTTCTCCTCCCACCTGCTGAAAATATGGCATTGTGGTATCTCTCTGTTAGAATGCTTCATGTTCTTTACAGTACGCAGAATGCAGTAGAAAAAGTGAAGCTCCAAAGTGCGGGACTCAGCAGTGGAAACTTTCTTGGCAGAACTTAGCATGCTCCAGAGATGCACTATATTACCAAAAGTAGTGGGCCCCTCCCCCTCCATTGGATGCAGGTGTTCCGTGGAATTTCCTTGCTACTAAATATTCCGCGGTCACCTGTTACTGGTATTATAACAAAGTGGAAGCAAATGGGAACAACAGCAACTCAGCTACGAAGTGGTAGGCCACGTAAAATGACAGAGTGGTGTCAGTGCATGCTGAAGCGAACAGTGCGCCAACTGTCTGCAGAGTCAATAGCTACAGACCTCCAAACTTCATGTGCCTTCAGACTGGCACAACAACAGTGCGTAGAGAGCTTCATGGAATGGGTTTCCATGGCCGAGCAGCTGCATCCAAGCCTTACATCATCAAGTGCAATGCAAAGCGTGGGATGACGTGGTGTAAAGCACGCCGCCACTGGACTCTAGATAAGTGGAGACGTGTTCTCTGGAGTGACCAATCACACTTCTCTGTCTGGCAATCCGATGGACGTGTCTGGGTTTGGCGGTTGCCAGGAGAACGGTACTTGCCTGACTGCATTGTACCAAGTGTAAAGTTTGGTGGAGGGGGGATTATGGTGCTGGGTTGTTTTTCAGGGGTTGGGCTTGGCCCCTTAGTTCCAGTGAAGGGAACGCTTAAAGCATCAGCATACCAAGATATTTTGGACAATTTCATGCTCACAACTTTGTGGGAACAGTTTGGGGATGGCCCCTTCCTGTTCCAACATGACTGCGCACCAGTGCACAAAGCAAGGTCCATAAAGACATGGATGGGGGAGTTTGGGGAGGAGGACCTTGACTGGCCGGCACAGAGTCCTGACCTCAACCCCATAGAACACCTTTGGGATGAATTAGAGCGGAGACTGTGAGCCCGGATTTCTCCTCCAACATCAGTACCTGACCTCACAAATGGTCCAACATTCCCATAGACACACTCCTAAACCTTGTGGACGCCTTCCCAGAAGAGTTGAAGCTGTTATAGTGGCAAAGGGAGGAGCCAACTCAATATTGAACCCTATGGACTAAGACTGGGATGCCATTAAAGTTCATGTGCGTGTAAAGGCCGGCGTCCAAATACTTTTGGTAATATAGTGTATAAGAAGTCAGTAGATAATTCAGATGCAAAAAGTAATCTTAGGCAGACATAAGGCTCATAAGTGACGGTTATTTTCAGATGAGTCCAATGACGTCTGAAGATTTTAGTCACATGGATGAAAATAGAGCGCCTGAAGCTGGTGTTAAAGCTTTGTAGATTGAGCCTATGCCCTTTAACGAACACAATAGGCCCAATTCGCCAGAAGATTTAACACCAGGATAAAGATCTTTATTTTCAGGCACGTGACTGTAATTTTCAAATCTCATTGGGCTAAAAATAACTGTCACTTAAAAATATATATATATATGGACCTTATCCTGGTCTGTTCACTTTGTGAATAGAGACTAATGCTGTTTTCAGTAATTGTGCTGAATAGTGAAGGATTGTAAGGTTGGTCCCGATATTAGAAGTGTACGTGTTTGTTTTACAACCAAACTATACAGGACTTACATAGACATACAGTACAATCCTTTTTATTAAAGTAGATGTAAACCCCCTACTAAATAACATTTAATTTGCTGTAGTCCAGTGTAATCATTAAATACTTATCACTTGCATCTCAGTGCCGCTGATCTCCTGCAGCCTTTTTGCAGCCACTTCCTATGTATATGCACTCCAACGATTGGCTGTTCTTTTGGTGGCTTTTCTGAAGGACACAACAGTGGACCATGCCTGCAATAATGTATGTTGGAAACGTCCACTCATCAGAAGCCTTTGTGGGTTGCGCAGAAGCACAATTGGGAGACAGGAACGGAAGTGCCTGAAACTTGACCTTCATGGTAGGATCACCAGGAAATATTTTAATAAAAGCTGCAGATCTAAAAATATTGCAAATCACTTTTAAAATGAAATGAACACGTGAAAGTGACCGTGCTGAAAAAATTGTGTTTGGAAGCTGTGTAACCTGTAAATAATCACCGAGCGCGATGCTTGTCCTGCCGAACACAAACTTTCTTCTCTCAAAGTCCAATGGAAAACAAAGTGTTACTTTACATGTTCTCACTGGTTCCTCTCTCTAACCCCACTGCAGGATACAGCAGTACCCTCTTACATTCACTCAAAATGTGTTTCTATTGTTTTGCATCTGCTGAACAGTTTTCCTCTTAGTCACTGGGGCAGAAAGTGAGGAGGAACGTTCCCAATGGAGGGCAACAAAAGCCAGGACTAGAGTTGACCCTTAAATGCAAAACCTTCACATCCTCTATGCCAAATATATAAATTCTATACATACAGATTCCCCGATCTCAGTAACAATGTGACATGGTAAGTTATATATTTTTTCCATCTTACATCTTACAAGCTCCTTGTGGTGGGCTGCTCGTGAAATCCACATCTGGGTACTCTTTGTCAAGATGGATGGGGAGTATTGCTCCGATTAGCACATCTCCAGTCTGTGTAGCTCCAACAAGGCTCAAACCTCTCGGCCGGCTGACCACCTGGTCTGAATGAGATGCTGGCACGACGTAAGTCAGAATGAGATGCCATAGAGACCAGTACACATGGAAGACCAGTCTGGGTGGAGAATACACAAGGAACCGTATTTATAGCATACGCAGCACATATTATATTAGGCTGCTTTTCATAAACTCTATCAAACAGAGACAGCTTAATGGAGATGCATGTGGCCCCTGATAATAATTGGGAAATCAATATAGGAATATTAATTTTTGTGGCGATGGTGAGATACCCTCTCAGGGTTATTACTTCTAAAGGAATGCCGACACTGCAACTTTCCTTAATACAACAGTCCACCCGATGATTGTAATGAGCCCATTCAGGGATCAGTTTGGAATGGGCATGGTAAAACAGACAGTTTTTTTCTTAAAGGTGAACTATGGGGTTAAGGCTTTTCTCCATAGTTCTCCTGAGGGTAACGGGAGGACACAAACTAGCGTCCTCCTATCACCCTAGGCTCAGTATACCGCAAGCTGTAGCTCGCGGTATACTGAGATGCCGCAGTAAACCGCGAGCTGCTACTTGCGGTATACTGAGATGCTGAAGCAGATCCCGACAATTATGCCGGGATCCGCCCAGCTGCGTGACTGACAGCTGGCTCTGCCTTTCTAGAGGCAGAGCCAGCTGTACCCGCCCCCTCCCCCGTCCGTTCCGCCAGTCAGCGCTGGCGGATCGGAGCGGGGAGGGGGGAATCCAGCCCCTCCCCTGTCACGGCAGAGAGCCGTGACAGAATGGAGAGGTGAGCGAACGCCGGTATGTGTTCGCTCACCTCCCGATCTACTGAGCCGACCTGTGACAGTCTCATTGTCACAGGTCGGCTAGAACTATGAGGTGGGGGAAAAGCACGCACCTGAGTTCTCCTTTAACAACAGAACTAGGTAGGAATCTGCAATAAAGTTTGTCCAAATCCTTGCAATGTATTGCATTGATCACTCATGGGGAATTAATTTTTTGTTTCCAGGACAAAAGTGGAGTTGCTCTTTAAGCCAGCCACACAAGAGCAGAATTTCATGTGAACGTTCATGCGGCATTTTAGAAGAATTGTTTGTGATGGGACGGGATAGCACCTTCAGCGACTCCACAAATTCTGGTAAAAAAATGTTGCACTTCATAATTCTGTTTGATGGCCATGCCAATGTTTAAAATTTGCATGTTCAATTTGTGAACACAATGTTTGATTATGTACCCTATCTTGCCACCCAGCCATGCTACTGTACTTATTGTAACGTTCATTCATGAAACCAATGTTCTTTCGTTGTGTGTGGTAGCATTATGGATTCTGCAGATAGCACCCAAAGGTCTTCCAGACTCTTAGCTATCTATGCCTTCTCCATGATGGACCTGTGTCTTTATTCAACCTCAAATACTATGTAACATAATCACAAACTCTTCACCCTTTTGTGAATAACCCTGTTGGTCTTCAGGTTCTAACATGTTGAAAATTCCTCAAAATGCATGTTAGATTGCCCTTGACTTCTATGGGCCTCCCAATGCACAAAAACAGACAAGTTGTATTTTGAAAGTGCAGCACAGAGATGGGAACGGGCCCTATTTTTAGTATGGTGAAGTTGGACACATAGGCATCGTAACGCATGCATTAAAAAGCAACAGGTTAAATGGGCCCCTAATAGCTGGCCCTCGACAGCTTTAATGTGCAGGGATATAACGTATATACTGTATATGTCCTTACCTCATATCCAGATTTCCAGAAGAGCTCCTTTCTGCAATCCACACATTTAATGTCTCCTTTTCCTATACTAATACTGGACTTCCCTCGTTACCAGAAGAAGAAAAGTAAGTGTTGACCACCTGAAAATACAATACATTCATGCCAGACGCATGCTGGTTGAAGTGACAGATGCTGTCTCTAAGACAAGCAGTCCAGCAGCAGATGGCGTTTTATAGCTTGCTACTACTAAAGGGATTTCAATCCATCCCATTATGTTCTGCGCTGGGTTACCCAGGAGAGACCGAGAATTCCCATAAAAGAGACCAACCGTACATATTTATCTAAAAATCATTGTAGTCCTGGAAATAATCTGTTTCATAATTTAATTAGTATTATTGCTTTATTTCATTCTGCCGTAGAGCAGAACCTGTACCTATAGGCCAGTGATATGAGTTTGGCGTTTTAGTGGTACCCTTTAATGGCTAGCCTAAGTAAAGAAAGATGGAAGCATTCCAAACAAGTTCAATGGTATCTCAACGCAAAAAAAACGTAATATGTGTCAGCTTATCAGCCCTCAGATGTGGTGGCAGCCAGTGACATACTTCATGTCTTAGGGTGGCTATGCTTACTCCTCCACTGTATCTACCGTGTTTCCCCCCAAAAAAGACACTGTCTTATATTTTTTTTGCCCCAAAAAAACACCCAAGGTCTTATTTTCCGGGGATGTCTCATTTTTTTTTAATGCTAATCCCTTTCTTTCACTTTCACAGGCGGAGTGCATCTGGTATCACTCCGCCTGTCACAGTAACTGGCGCTATAGAGGAATATCGCTATTGCGGCTCTGCTCCCTCAGCCGCCGCAGCCTTGCTTTCTACAGCGCCGGCTTCCTTTGCCATCAGGGACAGCGGTACCAGCGGTGCAGCAGTGGGGACCTCAGACAGTGGACAGCACGGTAAAGTATGGTACCATTTATCGCTACACATTACAGTATCATTACATTAAGCAGTGCCTTATGGGGGACAGCAGTTGGTGGTCTGGTCCTGCTGACCGGAGGGAGTCCCCTGTCATCCCCTAAATACAGTATGTCCCTGCAGGCTGATACCATCTCTCCTGCTCTTTAAGTTCCCCCTCACATGCTACCACCAAACTAGGTCTTATTTTCGGGGTTGGTCTTATATTACAGGAATCTTGAAAAAATAGTGTGAGGTCTTACTTTCGGGGTAGGTCTTATTTTTGGGGAAACGCGGTATGGAGGAATGGATCCACCTTTTGGACAGGAGCATTGTCACCCTGTGGGAAGGGTGGTGTTGGATGGACTAGTAGATTTAGGTGCAATTTACATAAATGACTAACAAATTATATCCTGATGCCGCCCAACACTTTTTAGGCAGTAACAGAAACCGTTTGTTTTTTTTCTTTTAGGATGAAGGTTGTAACCCAATCGCTGCCACCGCGTTTTTTGCACACATATTATAAGCCACATTTTAGGCCTAAACATTTTTTTGAAACCCCCCCCAGAGTTATATATTTCCTGAAGGCACAGACCCTGTAGAACAAAATGGTGGCAGCTGCACATTTTTACATTGCAATATATTAGCGCAACTCTTTATCAAACCCAAAATTGCATAAAAAATATACACTTACGTTAATTTTAACGCACAAAAGCAGAACGTAATATCCAATTTTTTTTGCAAAATATAAAAGATGAGGTTGTGCCTCACAAGTAAAGAGATGCCCAAAATGACAAGCTTAAACATTGTGTGCCCCCCTAAAACGGCCACAAAATGCAGCACCCCAAATTGTCCATGGGCCACGTCTTAAAGGCCAAACATGTGTGGCGCAATTGTTATTTTCATGTGCAAGCACACCCGACGCATGTTTACATTAGTATACCTGTGTTCACAAGGGCAGGGGACAAAAAAATGTGTTGGTAAAGTTAAATTTATTTTATTTAACTTTTTTTTTTAACTATTTACTACTTTTCTACTTAACTTCATTGCTATCACATAGGGGGGCTTACAAACCTCGTATGTGATAGCATATTAGTGGTGACAGGCTTCCTTTAAGGGGACATTAGGGGGTCTATTAGACCCCTAAGGTCACCTTTGCACTTCAAAGAAGCTGTTCAAGAATAGATCGTACTTGCTCGTATAGCTTCTTCTCCGGCATCTCTATTCAGGGAATGACAGCTGAAAATCCGGAAGTGATGCAATCAGTGTCGCTTCCGGTTTCATTCAGCGGGAAGGAAATCAGTGAACGAATGTTCGCTGGTGTCTCTCCCTGCTACCTGCCAACACCCTTGAGGCCAGTCCTGGGTCCACAGGAGGGGCAGCGGAGCACAGGAAGCATGGCAGCGACCAGAAACGCTTCCAGTGTGAAGCTGCAAGTCATCTACACACAGGTAAACAGGGTCCCTGGTGGCTATAGCCACCGAGAGTCTCCTTACAGTGGCATGCAGCCAGCGCTGTAAGGAATATGCACTGGCAGAGAAAGGGTTAAAGCCACACTCTGGGCAAAATGATAATTTATGCACCACACTGGGTGTGTAAATTATGATTAAAAAGCTGGGTGTTATGTGCAAAGGGCCACTGCAAAGTAGGAATGCGCCGATACGTTTTTTTTTCGGTATCGAGTACTCGCCGATAACGAATACCGATACGGGAAGTCCCATTAAGGAAGCCAGGCGTGTAATGACCACCACCTGGCTTCCTGATTAGACATTATTGACATGGATCTACATCGCTGCATGACGTGATTGACCATTGGATGACATCAATGGACACTTGGGGGCTTTTTTTTTTTTTGGGAATAAAAGTATTTATTGCGTTTTTCTTTCCAAATAAAGGACTTTTTTTTACGCCGTGGTGTGTTTATTTGCAATTTCACTGTTTATTTGGAGAATGAGTAGGGGTAACAACTAACCCTTACTCATTCAGGAGGGGGGTGGTATCTGGGTGCCCTCTTTATGATGTAAACATAGCATCCAACGCTACTGAAGATATTGAATGCCTAAGAGTCTCTCGGAGTTTCAGGTCTGAAACATAGGGCAGGTAAGGGACAAATGCTGCCAAAGAAGTTAATTTTCTTTCTGTCCAATGGCAGGAGAGCATTGTTTGCATTGTAATGTACTGTGGCGCAGAATGTCCTCAGTCTTCTGGGTTGAATAACGATGGGCAGAAAGGAATAACTGAATCTGACTGGGCCTCTAAACATTCCACACCCTAACTAAAGCAAGTTAGGCTGCAGCTGGATATTACAAATTATTGCAATAATGATAAATAATTCAAACTGTGTTATCCAATTTTGTAAAATAAAGTTTATAAGGGTTGTAGTCTTGATAAAAATGTTGTCATCAACATGAAATATTAAATACTATCTGTATGGAACACACAGAAATAAAATGCATAAATAACATAATGCTCAATCATACAATCATTTAATACATAACATTGAATATCTTAAATTTCATCTGAAGCTACAAAATTGTACAAATCTTCAAAGGAGAGTGATTTTACATCCATATTTATTTGGTGGTAAAAAACGAAAGCCATGGCCAGTTATCTACAATCTATTTCCGGCCTTTGTCTTTCCCCATGATATGTTCTTTGGAGTTCATCTCTGGTCGAAACAGGATGATGAAACATTTGGGTAGAAACATACAGATCACTAGAGCCCAGCTCGATGTCTGGATTGCAAAGATCTCCATGGCCACGGTGTACTTTCCTTTTGAGCTGAGAGAGGCCGGGATGTAGGATATCCAGACACTTAAGAAGGCTAACATACTGAAGGTGATAAATTTGGCCTCGTTGAAGTTGTCTGGGAGTCCTCTGGCCATGAACGCGACAACAAAACTGATGATGGCCAAGAGGCCAAGATATCCCAGCATGCTCCAAAAGGCAGTAGGTGAGTTCTCATTGCATTCCACAATAATGATGCCAGGTTGTGTTTCTGTGTTATATTGAGGGAATGGTGGAGCAGCCACCACCCAACCAATGCACAGAAGAAACTGTAGGAGAGAACTGGTGGCAATCACCATGTAAGACACATGAGGACTGGTCCATCTCTTCAGGCTGCTTCCTGGTCTTGTGGCCATAAAGGCAAAAACTACCATGAGAGTCTTGGCCAAGATACAGGAGACACAGAGAGCAAAGGCCATCCCGAAGGCAGCCTGGCGCAGAAGACACTTTTCAGTCTCAGGATAACCAATAAAAGTCAAAGAACAGAGAAAGAAGAGTGACAGGGACAATAGCAAAATACAACTCACTGAATAATTATTGGCTCTTACAATTGGTGTGGTCCTGTAACGAAGGAAAAGTTTGAAAATGAAAACTGGGACCATGGAGGAGGAAAGGCTTGTAGTCATCAACGTTATTCCCAATGGCTCACTGTATGAAAGATATTCAATGGGTTTGGGAAGACATTGATCCTTTTCTGCATTCGGCCACATATCCCATGGACACTTGGAACAATCTATGGCATCTGAAAGATGAAGACTACTTATAAACTAGCTGTCAAAATCAAGTCAAATTGTACCTGTGCACCTGTCATATAAGGTAGACATCTTATGGTTATTGTAAAATAAAAAAAAGCTAGGAAGTGAAAGGGAGAGATAGCATTGCCCTCCCTCTCACCTCATGGCCTATGGCAAAATGCACAGCAGGTCTTGTAAATCTTTGCCACCTAATAGCAGCGGAGAGCCACAAGAGCAGAGTATGGGCATTTTCTGTCAACATTTTTCACCACAATGGTGGCCAATGTCAACAGTGCATGTCCTGATGCGCATGTACATCAGAACTCCGCCCTACTCTCCCCTTACTTAGCTGCTCTCCTCTATTCTCCCCACACCCCCCACCAACCACATAGTCACTGCCATCCTTCACAATTTTGTCAAGCATGCAAAGTGGCAGTGTCTGGACTCTTGGTTGGTCTCACGCAAAATGAAAGTGATATTCTCAATGACACCATTTGATGGTACTCAAGCTTTAAATGTCTAATGTGAATGTGTTGTGTTAGTACAATTTTGTCA